CCGTAATATTTACACCCACATATGTTTTCTGGTTTCTAACTTTATAAATTTAGAAAACCTTGTAGTTCTTTGGAGGGCAGCCCCCTTCTCTTGGGTCACATTGCGTACCACACCTTTCAGGATCTGCTGGACCTTGATTCTAGGTAAAGGCCTGGAAGCAAAAATGTGATTGGGTGTGACCTGAGGAGAACCAGTCAGGTCCTGCAAAGTAACACCTCAGGGGATGTTATTACATGTTCCTCAGGCAGAGCAGAGTCAACCTAAAATGGGCTTAGAATGGCTGTCCCTACTGACAAATAAAACTCACCAGACGTTTATGGCTGAGTAATGTGCCACCGTATGAATACACCACATTCCATATTTCTGTTACCTCAGCATCTATAAATGGATGTTTAGCTTCTTCTCCCTTTGTGAATATTATAGATATGATTTCCATAGAAATGAGTATACAAGTTTTTATGAGAAAATGTATTTCCTTTCTGGTGGGTATATATTTAGCAGTAGAATTGCTGCATTATTTAGTAGCTGTATATTAGCCTTTTAAGGAAAACTACCAAAGTGTTTTCTAAGGTGTTCGTGATTTATTTACAATCCTATCAATCCAGTGTGAGAATTCTAATTTCCCCACACACTCATCCACAGTTACACGTCTTCTTGAACCTATGCCCATTCTAGTCAGTGTGAGATAATACCACATTGTGGGTCTTTTATTGCCAGAGGGTGCTTGCCTGAGAGAGAGAGAGAGAGAGAGAACCATTGCAAAGTGGTATGGTCATGCCATTGTTTTAATTCATTCCTCCTTCATGTCAGGATTTTGGCTACAAACTGGAAAGTGCTTGGCATGTTTTTCAACCTGTGGGGCCAGGACTCAAACCACAGTAAGACATATGCGATCTGGCTCCCTTAAACACTGTGATCCAGGGTCAGCCTCGTGCTTTGTGATGTTAATATGCGCTTCTCCAACAACATCAAAAATATTGAGCATCTTTTCATGGGCTCACTGATCATTTGAATCTTCTATTCCTATATACTAATGTGTTGTCATCGATAATGATTCAAATATTCCCTGCTACATTATTATTTCTAAGTCAATTTACTAATAAAAATTATAAGTATATAAATATATTTTTTTAATTTCAGACTTAATAAGGTTAGTGCCCCTAGATTTATCGGGATTACTACAAGTCTGCCTTTTACTTTTCAGGATTCTATTTATTTCCAGGTAAGCCCTTACTTTAACTGAGGAGACCCTATGAGATTAGGAATTTAATTTGCTCTGCAATTTAGCCACTTGCAGGATGAATGGGATTCTATGTTTGATTTTCAGAAAGCTCATCACTGTGGATGCAAAAAGGAGACTTTTCTTTCAGGGCAAACATAGAAACTTCCAGGTTATTTTTGTGGCATTTGAACTGAGAAATGATTTTTTATTTATAGATTTTTTTTGGGGGGGGAGGAGGTTTTTGCTATAGGGCGTGTGCGCTCACCAGAAAAACAGAGAGACAAAGATAGACAGAAAGTGAGAAATCACCCCCTGGAGGGAATGGCCACGTTGCAATCCCTTCTCCTCCATTCTCCTCTCAGGATCTTGGGCATGCATGCACATGTGCCCGGCCTGAGTTAAAGCCACTGGGTCCAGAACTCGAACAACGGTCGACTACATAAGAGTATAGCAACATAGTCACTACGCCAACTGCTGGTCCTGGGAAATTCTATTTTGAGCTAATCTTTTTTGTTCTCCAATTTGTCTTGCAAAGTGAGGAACAGTCAGCCAATCAAATTATTCTTGACAGGCCAGGCCCATAGCCTGGTAATTGAGGGAGCCATATCTTCCCTTGCAAAAAAGTCATTTTGAGTCATGGCCTCATGGCCTCAGTGGCTTGAAAATCACACTGGGTATGTATATTCATGCTCCCACATTCCAAAGGGCTGGAGAAATGTTGAAGGAATTGCTGTGTGACCACACCTTTTGAGAAGGTGCTCCCTCCCTCTGTCTCTCTCTCTCTCTGTCACTCTGGAGAGTGCATGTCTCCTCTGGTTAAAAAACTGTGTTAAAAAAAAAAAAAAAAAAAAGAATTATACTTTAGTCCAACAGGTGGTACGGTTGTAAGGCACCAGATTCCCACATGGCTGACCATGGTTCAAGTCCTAGATCCAGCAGATTGAAATCACAAGTGAAGTAGATAGATAAATGTAAAAAAATATAAACTTGATGATCTGAAAAAATGCCTAAGTAAATATTTTCCTGGAAAATATGTGATCAGGAATACCCAGTGATGCTGTTGTGTACCTCTATTGTGAGGTCACTCCACAGACCATCAGTGGTTCTTTAGGAGTGGCCGTAGTCATCAGTGTCGTCTAACTAAATCATATTAGAGAAGAAACTCCCCAAATCCCAGCACCAATTCTGAAAACTCATCCTTGAGATTCTGTTTCCAGAGAAGCGTTTATGCCACAGCATTGAGAAAATAAAGCAATCTGGACGCACGGTTTTTTTCTTCCTTGTGGAACATCAGCTTTCTCGTTTTAAGAACTTCAACTAATTGAGTGAGCCCCACCCATATTATGGAAGGTATTCTGCTTTTTTTAAAAAATATTTATTTTAATTTTATTTATTCTTTTCTTTTTTTATTTGACCAGGGAGAGAGAGAGGGAAAACAAGAAAGCAAGCCACCAGGTCCAGGACTTGAACCTTGGTCAGCCAAGTGGGAATGTCCAGCAACTTAACCTTCATGCCACTATGGGCATTTTTACATATCTACTGATTTAAATATTAATCATAATTTGAAAACCTTTTTGTAAGGAGTTATTTAACTTTATTTATTTATTTTTTTAAATTTGACCAGCGAGGGATATAGTGAGAGAGAGATAGAGGAAAACTGATAAAGCAAGCTGCCAGGACCGGGTTTTGAACTGAGGTCAGTCATGTGGAAGTCCATCACCCTTAACCACCATGCCACCTGGCAATGCCTAAAAAAATCTTCACAGAAATATGTAGCCTAGTATTTGAACAATGATTTGGTATTATAACCTAGCCAAGTTGTTGCATAAAATGACCCACCCTAGTTGTGGATTTAGATATTTAACCAAGGAGATTCCGTAATGATCTGTGAACTTCTTTTTATTGCTTGTCATAAGATGCAAGATAAAGAGATAAATTGTGGAATAAACTTATTCAGAAAGAAACCAGCACTAGATGATCTGAAAGGTCTTAGTCTACCAAGATGGTGTGCTCAACGGCAGAGCCAACGGTGTGGCTACTATAAAAATTAGGTGTATTTCTGTGGCTCCAGTCATCCATCTAAACAGAAGCCAGAAGTAGGGATGTGATAGTCAGAAAGATCTGGGATGGACCCTCCTGTGTGATAGCTAAGATCCTGTTTATGCATGGGAGACTGGCAGTGCTTTCAAGAATGTTATGCCAGTAGAAATGCTTACAGCCTGGACTGAAAGAGACACAATAAGGCAGCAATGTCTTAAGAGAAGAACCACATAATGTAGAACCTCGGGCACACAGGGCCTCCCAGGCTGATAGGGACTGTCATCCTTCTGGCACACCAAGAAGTTCTACTTTGAGCTACCACCCCAGGAGGCCCAAGTACAGGGCATCTAGGTACAGAAGACCATTCTTAGTCCTTCAAATCTAGTAGACTTGGTCTTATTTGGTTTTGAATTTGCTTGGATCCTGTAACTCTGTTAAACTGAGAACTGGGCACCAGTTATATCTTCCAGGGGACATCGTGTACTAGCTGCCAATCTCAGGGGAGGGCTCTACACATCTGCCCTTTGTACTTGCTATAGCAGATGTCAAGGGAAACACACCAGGCACTGGATGGAGTGACGCTTTACTTAAATACACAAAAGGCAGAGGGAGATCTGCTTTCATATGTGTGTCGGTCACTCTGCCCATCAGATGATCTGAGGAAGCCTCAGTTTGAGAGGACTTGCACATACTGTTTACATGTCCCCAAAACACATCACAACTCCAGCAGGAGAAGACAAGTTTACCTACACTGGTGGGGAAAACGTTCTGCTGATGGCTGGATGCCGAATGGTCTATGTGGCCATAAGCATAGAGTTAGGTTTTATACGATAGGAACAAAGCATTTGTAATCACTAACGATCAATGCAGACTCCTTTCACAAATACAGGAGTCTGGTCAGTTCATACATTGCTTGAAGCTTACAATGTAGGTTAGCTATTGATGAACAGAATCAACAGAGTATATTTAGGAATTATTACCCCAATCTAGTGATCTGAAAGTGGAGAGATGTGCATCCCTCTGGAATGGCCCAGTAGGCCAACTCTATGAGACAAGGTTATAAACACAATTCCATTTTAACTACTCCTTATGTTTTGTTTGCACTCATAAATGTGCAAGGTTGATATCTTGTAGAAGTGCACACATTTCATCATTTTGGTACATTTATTTATGACAGATAAGTAACAAGTACTAATTATATATACCTGATTACTAACGTGCTGACTGTTTTTTTACATGTTTGCAAAGTGATATAATTCTGGAGATAGAGACAACAATATCTCATTCATTTCCCATGTAATGGAGAGTATCAGGGAGCCTCAGACACTTCCTGACAACTTTGAAAGACCTGGGATGGGGTGGATAGAAACAGGCACTGCAGTAATAGTATCTAATTTCTTGCCCTTGATCTTTTAAAAATAAGACACACAGCATTTTAGTTTGCAAGTTTTTTTTTTTTTTTTTTGGAGAGATTTTCACTGTAGGGCGCGTGCACTCGCCAGACAGACAGAGAGAGACATAGAGACAGAAAGCGAGAAATCACCCCCCAGGGGGGATGGTCACGCCGCAATTCCTTCTCCTCCATTCTCCTCTTGGGATCTTGGGCACACACGCACACGCGCCCGGCGTGAGTTTTAAGCCACCGGGTACGGGACATGAATCGTGGTCGACTACATGGGAGTCCAGCGACATAGCCATTACGCTAACTGCTGGTTCCCTAGTTTGGAAGTTTTAATGCAATATTTTCAAGAAGCAAGTCCTCTGTCTCTGAGATAATAACTGTATCATCACAAATCAACAGAAATTCTTATTTATGAATAAAAATGAGTTAAACTATACTTTAAAAGACAAAGTGGAGAGAAACTGAATTAGTAATAAAAATTTAGTGTGACGTTTCACAGTTCGATTATAATAATACTTTTTAGTCATGGTCTTTTTCCACAACTGGGATATGCCATCTGCCCATTCTGACACAGTACTCGAAAGGATTGAGAATGTGTTGGATAATATCCATGTTTACACGTAAATTCAGCCAAGTCTCCTGTTTTGGCATAAAGCTTTCGGTTTCTTTTCCATTTTAATGTTATGTTATATTTTTCCATGGTCTGTTCTGATATTACACATGCACCTGAAAGTATTAAAACAATGAACATAAAACAATTAAGTAGTTTACAAGACTCCATAGACTTTCAGGTAAGATGTTATATAATGGTTTAGGAATACTTTTCCAAAGTCCTTAAGCATAATGTAGATTCAGGTAAACTTGAAATAAACACATAAAATTGAAGTACTACATTTCTTGAAAGATTCATAACACGTATTATCATATTAAGAACCTGTCACTACCATTTTTGTATGATTAAGATGTTGGTAAAGGGTAAAAATGTCAGTTACAGGATCTGTAAGACTTGAGATTCCATTGTACGATATAGGGACTATGGTCAATATACTGTACTGTTCAATTTAAATTTGGTCAAAGAGCAGATTTGAAGTGTCCTCACCACACTTACACACATAAATCCACTCATAGACACAGACACGTTTAGAAAATGGTAACTATAGGTGGTGATGAATTGTTCATTAATTTAATTGTGTTAATCATTTCACTATAAATAAATCAAATCACCATATCATATACCATAATAATATAGAATATTATTTGTAAGGTAAATATTTTTAAGTAAATCATAAATATAAAAATAATGTTTAAAACTTTATTTTCTAACATTCTAATATTTGGAAGTCAAGTATTTAGCAGAACGGTTGTGTGTTAATCTGTGAAAATTCTGTTGTAAATTAGTAAACATCATAGTCATTACACTGATTTTCCCAAGTTCTGTGAAGTATTAAAGTACTTACCTAAGCATTTTGGTGGTTCTGACCACTTTCCCTTTTCACAGGTTATTATTTTGGGACCCTCAAGTACATACAAGGACTGGCACTGATACTCAACTGATGACCCAAGAGGGTATTCTTTCATCAGAAATGAAGTAATGTCGCCATTGTCGATAGGTGGAGGAGGCCCACATTTTCTTGAGTCTACGAGATATCAGTTGATTTATTGAGAGACAAAATAGAAGCACCAGTTATAAGAAGGAAAATTAAAGTACAATAGTACATATCATATCAAAACTTGTGCAATTTCCAGTGACAAAAATAATTTCTTGAACATTTTAACGACATACACTGAGAGTTCCATTTTAAGCTCTTCCTTCCACCTCCCTAAAGACACAGGTAAAGCATTAACAAATGTATCCATTTTGTAGTATTCCAGTATTTAGCAGTGAATAAATTAACATTTAATGAATAAATGCTGAAGAGATAGATAGTTAAGACAAACAGAAAATGCCTTACTCTCATATGTAACATGCTGCGATGTTTATTGTGTCTTTAATCATTTTTAAGATTTCTTATTCTTATTACAAAAGAAATATCACTCCTTGAATAAAATTAAAATAATACAAATTTCTATAAAGTAAAAGAGAATTGTTAGCTTCCTGAAATGGACAAGATGAGGATAAAATGTTTCTAAGTATTCCTTCTGCCGAGTCTAACTAAAAATCCTAGACCAAGAAGACACTGTCCCTCTCCTGTGATGTCAGTGGAGGTCCATGTAGAATTTGGGCTGATACTCGGCATGGCATAATCGAAAGCTGCTAAATAAAAATAAATAAATAAAAAATCCAGGATCTCAAACTATAATACCCCAAAGTCCAGAGCAAATCAAGATCACTCATGATATTAAGAATTAGGAAAATCTTGGGGACCAGCAGGTGGTTAAGGTGCTGGACACTCCCACATAGCCAACTGCAGTTCAAGTACAGGACCTGGTAGCTTGCTTTCTCACTTTCCCTCTCTCTCTCTCTGTATCTCTCTCTGGTCAAATTAAAATAAATGAATGAATAAATAAAATTTAATAAATAATTATAAAAAAAAGAATTAGGAAAATCTGAGAAGACAATCATCAAAACACTGAGATGACACAATGTTGAACAGTGATTTTTAAAAACGCCATAGAAAGTATGGAGCTGAAAAGTCTAACAAATTTTAAAAGCAGAAAAAAACTCAATGTTGGGTTTATAATAGATTGGAAGGGACAGCAAATTCATGAACTTTAAGATAGACAACGCAGGGGCCGGCAAGTGGCATGGTGGTTAAGGGGGCTGGACTCTCACACGGCGGACCACGGTTCAAGTCTCAGACCTTGCTTTCTCACTTCCTTTATCTCTCTCTGTATCTCTCTGATCAAACTGGAAAGCAATAATGATAATAATAATAATAATAAATAAAGTTAAATAAAATAATTCTTTAAAAAAAGAGATAGACGACACAAATAACTTAGTGTGAAAATAGACTGAAAACGAAAATATTGAACTGAATTTTAAAAATCTATAAAAGGAAATATTGGAGACCCAGAAAGAGAGAAAAAGTATGGGGCTGAAATAAATGAAAAGACAATGGCTGTTTTACCACACTGGTTATAAGGAACACATCTAAATATTCAAGAAGCTGAGTGAACTCCAAAGAGGATAAGCCCAATGAAATGATGCCAGTACACATCATAATAAAACTACTTAAACATAAATGAAAAACATAAAAAAGAAAAACTATCTTGATAGCAGCTCGACAGAAACTATACTGTACCTCCTGGGGACCAAGGATTCACATGCTGGTCCCATCACTTGTCTTTTTCTTAATTTGTTCAGTTATGTTTGCTGTTTGAATAAAAATTACGTAATTTGATATGATGCTCAATATATGTACTGAACATAATGAAGGCATTTATATTTAAAATGTGGGGAGGATAGAGACCAGCAGTTGGCGTAATGGCTATGTTGCTGGACTCCCATGTAGTTGACTGCGGTTTGATTCCTGGACCCAGTGGCTTAAACTCACGCCAGGCACAGGTGCATGCATGCCCAAGATCCTGAGAGGAGACTGGAGGAGAAGGGATCAAGGCATCGCTATTTCTCCTAGGAGGTGATTAGGTGATTTCTTGCTTTCTGTCTCTGACTCTCTCTGTCTTTCTGGCAAGTGCACACACCCTATAGCAAAACAAAAACAAAAACAAAAACAAAAAAAACCTTTCACAAAAAAAAAAATGTGGGTAGGATGAAGAAACCTATATAAAAATAAGGTATAAGGTTTCCATATTTAAATGAAGGGCTGAATGTCAATGTCAGCAGAGAGTAAGTTGCATACGTATATGCTATGATAGCAAGAGCAACAACTTAAAAAGGGGAGAGGAAGCTGTAGAGACATACTTGAAAACAATAAACAAAAATCAAGCTAAAATTCTTTAAAAATGTCACCCACCAGAACGGGAGAGAAAGAAAAACAAGACTGAGAAATACAGATATTTAATAATAAAATAGAGACCTGCAAAAGTATATGTCTCTTCAGCAACTAAGCTACCATCCTCTAGTGCCATGTTCCCTCACTTATGTTCTCTCAATCATGAGAAGTAAAATACACAGACATTTTACATGGTATTTACATTGCAGTCCCAAATTGTTATCTGTATTTTGTTCACAGAAGCAAAATAATGGTGAGTGATTGATTTATATGGCTAGATTGCAGCTTATGATTTCAAGACAAAGATAATAGACATGAACAAGATCTTCGTGTTTTCATATACACAGAGCATGGTGATGTATCAATCCCATTAGAAAGAACGTTTGCTATACGACGACTGTGCACACTGACCAGCACAGCGTGGTAACGACTGCCACTTCCCATCTTTGCACACCACTTCTTCTGCTTCCTGAATTAGGTAACCTTCTTGGCAAAGAACAGACACCTTCTCTCCATCCTGATAATTCACTGTAGTTTTCATATCTTGAGCATTAGGAATCTGAGGTGGAGGTGGGCATAATTGTACTGGTACTTCTAAAAAAATTGGGATTAGATTTCTTGATTAAAAAATTATAATTTAACAATATTAACTGTTTAATTTTCAATGAATAGAAAACTCAAGTAACTGTTTACTATAAATGAATGATTGTATAATAATTATGCTCTATGTTTACCTTTGTTATACTTGTTTGCTTGTTTACCATATTACATTATCATCTTTTGTTTATATTTTCATCATTTCCCTTATAGTTTTGTTTTCCTTTTTTAGAATTTTTTGCCTTAGGGCATGTACGCTCACCAAAGAGAGACAGAGATAGAAAAATTGTAAGGGAAAGTGAGAAATCACCCCCTGGAAGGATGGCTATGCCATAGTCCCTTCTCCTGCCAGGATCTTGGGCACACGCACACATGTGCCAGATGTGAGTTTCAAGTCACCTGGTCCGGTCTTGAACCACTCTCAACTATGTGGGAATCCAGTGACATAACTGCTATGCCATCTACCGATCCTCCTTTACAGTTCTTTAAATTGACTCTCTCTTTAAACAATCTTGCCTAATTTATCGAAACCTATCTTAATTATTTCCTACCTTTATGATGTTTTTAAAAACATAGTTAATTAAATTACTCAATTTATTTTAAATTTTTGTCATGGGGGCATGCACTTGCCAGAGAGACAGAAAAGAAAGTGAAAAAATCACCCTCCAGTACTTGCCAGAGAGACAGAGAAAAGAAAGTGAAAAAATCACCCTCCAAGAATTATAATCCCCATTCTGCCATTCTCCTCTCAAGATTTTGGACACAAAACCCACACACCCATTGTGCCTCCTAGCCAGCCAGGTCCTGGACTCAAACTGTGGTGCCAGTTATGTGGGACCCACCTCTTCGACCACACCAGCACCTGCTGGTCAAACGTTTTAACCAAATCAAATACTCTTAATAGCAAGAATAAATTAAAACTGATTATTGGGATTATTTTTGGAGAAATCCATGATCCATTTTAATGAGACTGAATTGAAACCTTCACAAGGTATGTCGATGGAAGCTGATTAGCCTGACCAAGAACTACCTTTAGTAAATACTCAATTTGAATAAGACGTTTAGATAACACAACATTAGATATATTCACAAGTGATTTTTATTGTGCCAGTTCACGTTTGAAACTCTCCCAAAGCTACCATTAGTGGTTTTCCTACACTGTTTAGGGATATATTAATAGGAAGCAACAAGTTCAATAGGTCACTCAGCCTGGTTTTAGTTACATAATCAGTTTGATACAAAAGACCACAGTGCTAACTTGTATCTGAGCTTCTACAAAACAGAAATAACACAAACTGGAAAACCTAGAAGAGATGAACAATTTCCTGGACACATAGACTATATCAGAATTAAACCAGTAAGAAATATAAAGCCTGAATAGATCAATAGCAAACAATAAAAATGAATCAGTAATAATATTCTTCCAATAAAACAAAGTCCAGGTCTGATGGCTTCATTACCATATTCCACAAAACTGGTAGAGAAGAATTAACATCCGTTTTTCTCAAACTATTTCTAAATTTCCAAAGAAACCTTCTCTAATTCTTTTTCTTTCTTTTCTTTTCTTTTCTTTTTTTTTTTTTTTTTTTTTTAGAGGATTTTGCTGTAAGGTGTGTGTGCTTTCCAGAAAGACAGAGAGACAGGGAGACAGAAAGTGTGAAATCATCTTCTGGGGGAATGACCATGCCGAAAATCCCTTCTCCTCCATTCGCCTCATGGAATCTTGGGCATGCATGCACACGCGCCCAGTGTGAGTTTAAGCCACTGGGTCTGGGACTTGAACCATGGTGGACTACATGGGAGTTCAGTGACATAGCCATCACGCCAACTGCTGATCCCTACTTTTAATGTTTGTTTGTTTGTTGTATTTTTTAAAGGCACTGTCACTTTGATACCAAAAGTAGACAGGTCAAAACAAGAAAGGAAAGAAAGGAAAAAAGAATATAACAAAGATAAAAAGTGAAAATGAACAATATAGAGACTGGAAAGCAACAGAAAAAAAATCAACAAAACTGAGTTGTTTTTTGCCATAGGGCAGGCGCCACCACGCCCGAAAACTGAGTTGTTTTTTGCCATAGGGCGGGCGCCACCACACCCGAAAACAGTTGTTTTTTGAAAAGATCAGTAAAATTGACAATCGGAGAAGCTTAAAGGAATTATGGGAGAAAGGTTCTTTGCTTTCTTTCTGGTAGTAACCATCTAAGCCAAGATGGGTGTATATAAGTGCATTCAGGAGCTGTGGAGGGAAAAGTGGTCTGATGTGATGTGCTGTCTTCTGAGGATCCACTGTTGGTAGTACCAACTCTGCACTCCACAGCACCCCTCGCGGCCGAATAAAATGTGCAGACTAGAATACAAGACTCAACAAAGTTAGAATTCGTGTTCGTCATGGAGACCACAAATGTCCAGTTCCCAAGGCTGCAACCTTTGGCAAGCCTATCCATCAGGTGTTAACCAGCTGAAGTTTGCTCAAAGCCTCCAGTGTTGCAGAGGAGTGAGCTGGATCTTGCTATGGGACCCTTAGAGTCCTGAGTTCTTACTGGGTTGGTGAAGATTCCACATAACAAATTCTTTGAGGTTATCTTCATTGATCTTTTCTATAAAGCTATCAAAAGAAATCCTCACACCAGTGAATCAGCAAAATAGTTCACAAGCACAGGAAGATGTGTGGGCTAACCTCTCTCTCTCTCTTTTATTTTTATTGTTTTAGAGAGATTTTTGCATGTTGGAGAGGCAGAGAAAGAGTGAAAGATACAGAAAGTGAGAAATAACCCACCCAAAGGAGATAGCCACACCACAATACTAAATTCTGCTCTCAGGATTTTGGGCATGAACACACATGTGCCTGGCATGAGTTCCAAGTCACTGGGTCCAGGATTCAAATCACAGTTTGCCATGTGGGAGGCCAATGCCTTAAACACTATGCTGCCTTCTGGCTCACCCATCTCTTTTTTTGGGTCCATTCTCACCCCGACCCAAAACCTGAAAAGGACACAAAGGTAAAGAAAACTACAGGTTCATATGCTTGATAAATACAGATGTAAAAATGCTCAACAAAATATGAGCAAACTAAATTCAACATCTTATGACAAGGAAGAGATGCCATGACTTGGTGAGATTTATCTCTGGAATATATGATGATTCAACATACACAAAGTATTCCACTTCATTTCAGCAGGAGGATAAAACCATATGGTTATCTCAATAGATGCAGCAAAAGCGTTTGACAAATTTCAACACATTTTCATAATGAAAACACTCAAGAAATTAGAAATAGGCATACATTAATGCAACATAATAAAGTTCATCTATAAAAATCCCACAACTTTTATCATATTCAAAAGCAAAAAAATAGACAACTTTGGCTCTGAGATCAGAAATCATGCAAGGATACCTAGTTTTACCACTTCTATTCAAAAAAGCACTAGAATTCCTAGCTTGAAGCAATTAAATATGAAAATGAAATGCATCCAAATCAGAAAACCAGATGAAAAATGATCTCTCTTCTCAGACACCGTATTTGTACATGTAGAAATCCCTAAAGATTAATTTTAAAAAACTATTAAAACTAAGAAATTCTATAAATTTGCAAAATAAATCAACATTACAATCAGTTGTGTTTCTTTGCTTCAACAACAAAACAAAAAGTCAGGTGAAAAGACCAAGGGAACAGTGTAGAGGCCACAAATAATCTTATGTGTATATGGCCAACTGATCTCTGACAAGGATCTGAACATATACAAGGGGAAATTATAGCCTCTTCCACGAATGGTGTTGGGAAACTACCGGGTCTTGAACCACTCTCAACTATGAGGGAATCCAGTGACATAACTGCTATGCCATCTACCGATCCTCCTTTACAGTTCTTTAAATTGACTCTCTCTTTAAACAATCTTGCCTAATTTATCGAAACCTATCTTAATTATTTCCTACCTTTATGATGTTTTTAAAAACATAGTTAATTAAATTACTCAATTTATTTTAAATTTTTGTCATGGGGGCATGCACTTGCCAGAGAGACAGAAAAGAAAGTGAAAAAATCACCCTCCAAGAATTATAATCCCCATTCTGCCATTCTCCTCTCAAGATTTTGGACACAAAACCCACACACCCATTGTGCCTCCTAGCCAGCCAGGTCCTGGACTCAAACTGTGGTGCCAGTTATGTGGGACCCACCTCTTCGACCACACCAGCACCTGCTGGTCAAACGTTTTAACCAAATCAAATACTCTTAATAGCAAGAATAAATTAAAACTGATTATTGGGATTATTTTTGGAGAAATCCATGATCCATTTTAATGAGACTGAATTGAAACCTTCACAAGGTATGTCGATGGAAGCTGATTAGCCTGACCAAGAACTACCTTTAGTAAATACTCAATTTGAATAAGACGTTTAGATAACACAACATTAGATATATTCACAAGTGATTTTTATTGTGCCAGTTCACGTTTGAAACTCTCCCAAAGCTACCATTAGTGGTTTTCCTACACTGTTTAGGGATATATTAATAGGAAGCAACAAGTTCAATAGGTCACTCAGCCTGGTTTTAGTTACATAATCAGTTTGATACAAAAGACCACAGTGCTAACTTGTATCTGAGCTTCTACAAAACAGAAATAACACAAACTGGAAAACCTAGAAGAGATGAACAATTTCCTGGACACATAGACTATATCAGAATTAAACCAGTAAGAAATATAAAGCCTGAATAGATCAATAGCAAACAATAAAAATGAATCAGTAATAATATTCTTCCAATAAAACAAAGTCCAGGTCTGATGGCTTCATTACCATATTCCACAAAACTGGTAGAGAAGAATTAATATCCATTTTTCTCAAACTATTTCTAAATTTCCAAAGAAACCTTCTCTAATTCTTTTTCTTTCTTTTCTTTTCTTTTCTTTTTTTTTTTTTTTTTTTAGAGGATTTTGCTGTAAGGTGTGTGTGCTTTCCAGAAAGACAGAGAGACAGGGAGACAGAAAGTGTGAAATCATCTTCTGGGGGAATGACCATGCCGAAAATCCCTTCTCCTCCATTCGCCTCATGGAATCTTGGGCATGCATGCACACGCGCCCAGTGTGAGTTTAAGCCACTGGGTCTGGGACTTGAACCATGGTGGACTACATGGGAGTTCAGTGACATAGCCATCACGCCAACTGCTGATCCCTACTTTTAATGTTTGTTTGTTTGTTGTATTTTTTAAAGGCACTGTCACTTTGATACCAAAAGTAGACAGGTCAAAACAAGAAAGGAAAGAAAGGAAAAAAGAATATAACAAAGATAAAAAGTGAAAATGAACAATATAGAGACTGGAAAGCAACAGAAAAAAAATCAACAAAACTGAGTTGTTTTTTGCCATAGGGCAGGCGCCACCACGCCCGAAAACTGAGTTGTTTTTTGAAAAGATCAGTAAAATTGACAATCGGAGAAGCTTAAAGGAATTATGGGAGAAAGGTTCTTTGCTTTCTTTCTGGTAGTAACCATCTAAGCCAAGATGGGTGTATATAAGTGCATTCAGGAGCTGTGGAGGGAAAAGTGGTCTGATGTGATGTGCTGTCTTCTGAGGATCCACTGTTGGTAGTACCAACTCTGCACTCCACAGCACCCCTCGCGGCCGAATAAAATGTGCAGACTAGAATACACGACTCAACAAAGCTAGGATTCGTGTTCGTCATGGAGACCACAAATGTCCAGTTCCCAAGGCTGCAACCTTTGGCAAGCCTATCCATCAGGTGTTAACCAGCTGAAGTTTGCTCAAAGCCTCCAGTGTTGCAGAGGAGTGAGCTGGATCTTGCTATGGGACCCTTAGAGTCCTGAGTTCTTACTGGGTTGGTGAAGATTCCACATAACAAATTCTTTGAGGTTATCTTCATTGATCTTTTCTATAAAGCTATCAAAAGAAATCCTCACACCAGTGAATCAGCAAAATAGTTCACAAGCACAGGAAGATGTGTGGGCTAACCTCTCTCTCTCTCTTTTATTTTTATTGTTTTAGAGAGATTTTTGCATGTTGGAGAGGCAGAGAAAGAGTGAAAGATACAGAAAGTGAGAAATAACCCACCCAAAGGAGATAGCCACACCACAATACTAAATTCTGCTCTCAGGATTTTGGGCATGAACACACATGTGCCTGGCATGAGTTCCAAGTCACTGGGTCCAGGATTCAAATCACAGTTTGCCATGTGGGAGGCCAATGCCTTAAACACTATGCTGCCTTCTGGCTCACCCATCTCTTTTTTTGGGTCCATTCTCACCCCGACCCAAAACCTGAAAAGGACACAAAGGTAAAGAAAACTACAGGTTCATATGCTTGATAAATACAGATGTAAAAATGCTCAACAAAATATGAGCAAACTAAATTCAACATCTTATGACAAGGAAGAGATGCCATGACTTGGTGAGATTTATCTCTGGAATATATGATGATTCAACATACACAAAGTATTCCACTTCAGCA